GGGGCGCGTCTCTTGGGGAAATGGGCCATCACCCCCAAGAAGGAGCTGGGCGCAGGGGTGGCATGGCAGAGGGTGCCCCCATGCACAGTGAGATGGAGGTGGGCAGCGGGCAGAGCTGGGCTCACCAAAAAAGGGCACCCAGCAGAGTTATGTCTGGCTCCTGCTGGCCCTGGCCCTGGGCCAGCCCCATGTGCCCAGGCTGCCTGGCATGTCCAGGGTGTCCAGGGTGCCCCATGTGCCTGGGGTGCCTGGTGTGCCCAGGATGCTCAGGGTGTCCAGGGTGTACCATGTGCCTAGGGTACCTGGCATGTCCAGGGTGTCCAGGGTGCCCCATGTGCCTGGGGTGCCTGCTGGGCCCAGAGTGCTCAGGGTGCCCAGGGTGTACCATGTGCCTAGGGTACCTGGCATGTCCAGGGTTCATGCTGTGCCTGGGGTTCATGCTGTGCCCAGGGTGCATGCTGTGCCCGGGGTGCATGCTGTGCCTGGGGTCCATGCTGTGCCCAGGGTGCCCAGGGTGCATGCTGTACCTGGGGTCCATGCTGCACCCCGGGTGCCTGGGGTGTGAGGGTGTGCCAGGGGTGCTGGGGTCTACAGGGTGCCCAGGGTCCATTGGGGTGCCCGGTGTGCCCAGGGTGCCCCAGCGAGCCGGCAGCCCCCTTCACTCACATAGTCATGTTCCTGTAGCCTTCAGCGTTGCTGATGGTGTGGTACCCATACGTGTCTCTCTTGAAGACAAGAACAGCCACCACGGCCAGCGTGGGCAGACCTGGGAACCGAGGACAGGCTGTGCTGGGGCAGCTGTGCCAGGGGCAGGCGCAGGCAGGGCTGGGCAGGTGCCCACTCACCCCACGCGAAGAGGCAGAGCTTGAGGAGGTAGTGCTGGATGTAGATGTTGTAGACCTTGACAAGAAGGAGGAGGAGGTGGAAGGCCTCAGCGGCCATCCATGCTAGGGTGCAGAGAAGGCCGGCATGCAGTAGGGCGGCGGTGACCTGGCAGAGCGCCTTGGTGCCGGCGGTCAGCAGCGGGGTCACAGTTGAGCAGGAGCAGCGCGGCCAGGAGGTGCATGTGGATCCTGGTCCTGTTGTCCCTCGGCCGCTGCCTGCAAGAGTGGGGAGGACGGGGTGCTGTCAGGTGCGCACTGGATGGCACAGCACTGCATGGCATGGCATGGCAAGGCATGGCACAGCCCAGCATGGCACAACATGGCACATCATGGCATGGCACGGCCCAACATGGCTTGCATGGCATGGCATGGCATGGCATGGCATGGCATGGCACTGCCCAATTTGGCATGTATGGCACGGCATTACATGGTATGGGGTGGCACGGCACGGTGAAGAATGGCATGGCATGGCATGGCATGGCACAGCCCAATGTGGCTTGTGTAGCATGGCACGGCACGGCATGGCACAGTGCAACATGGCATGGCACACCATGGCATGGCACATCACAACATGGCACAGCATGGCATGGCACAGCACGGCATGACACAGCACAGCTCTACCTGGAGAAGCAGCAGAGCAGGAGGGTGCCGAGGGTGGCAGCAGTGGAGAGGGAGCAGCCGGTGGTGGTGAGGAG